CCCCCCCCCCCCCCCCTCCTTTCTTCAAAATCTTCAGGAGAACAGTCAGCTCTGAAATAACGGCAGCTGAAAAGAAAGGCGTTGTATAGCATGCCCTCCCCTTCCCAGAAGCAGCCGGCTGTGTTTTTAAATGGGTTTACTGTCCCAATTGTAAAGAATTAAATTTTAACACCTGCAAATAAGCTGGATGTAAGTAGGATGGAGGCAGAGGAGTGGGTTTCTCTCTCCGTACGTGTGCGTGTGTCTCTGCACTCCAAGTTGGGCGCTGAAATTCCCCGAATTGACAGCTCCAAGCAGAGGATGTTTCCAGCGCTGGGGCAAGGGGGGCTTTATTTCCCCTTTGCCTTGCAGGATGAGGCTAATAAAGCACATGGCTGGGTTTAATATCGGAGGTGGGGGTCAGAGAGAGCCCAGTGCTCTCTCTGTATTGAATAAGACAGTTGAACCAAGCTTGGCTCCCAAAAGCTGCTGGCTTGGGCTCGGCACATCGCTTGGCTCACACTGGCGGTGGGAGACACTCGGTGGCAAAGGCGATTTTCAAGCCATTCCTAAATTGGTGTAATTCATCTCTTCTATGTTAGGTAGGTGGCTCAAGTCCTAGTGGCGGGGCCAAGGGGGCTCAAATGTGTCCCCGTGCCCCCCCCAGCCTCTGGCATGCACGCCAGCCGATGTGAATTTGGAAAGTTGTTCCCTGTGGTGACATCCTAACCTCACCCTCCCCTTTTTTCTTTTCTCTCCAGGAAACATGCTTTAAACTGCCACAGGATGAAGCCAGCCCTCTTTAATGTCTTGTGTGAAATCAAAGAAAAAACAGGTAGGAAATCAATGCTGTTGGTTCTGTATTATTTTTCTTTCTGCTCTTTGAGGGTTTTATTCCACTTTTTTGCAGTATTTAAGTGGGGAGAAATAACTCGCTGGTATTTAATGCTTCTGGCAGTGGACTTGCATGATGTGGTTTGTGTCTGGAAGGGAAAATATCGTGGTTTAATTTCTATTGTATAGCCTCTTTTTATTTATTGCTTTTTCTGGGGAGAAGAAAAAATCAAAACCCTTGCAATTTCTCTCTTGCTTTATTTTCTTCTTTAAGACATGGCACTGTTTAAAAAAAAAAAATCCAAGTACAGAGTGGGGGGGAAAAACCCCCAACAAAATGAAACTGTGCAGTTTTACTACTGTTGCTATTCAGGTAAACATAAAGGTTTCTTTGTTTTGAAGAAAGGGTTAAAATGCTCTTGTCTGCCAATCATCCAGGCTAGCTCACGTAAGAGCGAGTTGTCAGTTGCCTTTAGTGAAAGCAATATATTAGATTGTTAGTTACTTTAGGGTACTGTTGTTTTATGGCATGGGGTGTTCTCAGGCTTCTAAAGAAGCTAATGGCATGAGAGCGTTGGTTCTGCCGTTTCCCACTTTCCAGACCTCCTACCATGTACTAACACACTTATAACACATCCCAGGGGGGCATTTAAATTTTAAAAGCAACAATTAAAAAATAGCAGTCATCAATCAAGGGTGATCTTAAACAACAGATGCTCAGGGAAGGACATTTAGCAACATGCACCACTTATTTATTTATTTGTTGGAATGTCTTTTTTTTTAAATTAAAAAATGGGGAGAATGATGGAAGTTTGACCGGGGGGGGTGGTGGTGGTGGGGTGGTGGTGTTTAATCTCTGCTGTTGGCTTTCTGAGCCGACCAGAGGTGATCGGCAGGCTTTTCTGTGGCGATCCAGCTGCCTTGTTTTAGCACGCTGCAAAGTACTTGACTTCTCCCCCCCCCCTTTTTACAACAAGGACTGTAACAGTCAATAATTCATATCTAAACCATATAAGCAAGGGCATGACATGAATGAAAGTGACAATAAATATGATTGCACACCCAGTTGATATACATTGATAGTTACACATAAAAGGGGAACAGCTTTTGGAAACCTGAATCTGGGTCTTTTTTTTTTTCTCCTTTCTTAAATATATATATAAAACCTCCTAGCGTGAGCAGCTGATTGAAAATACGATTACTTGACTCTTGCAATATATATAAAATGTCTAAGGGGGCCCTTTGTTAAACGTTGTTTGTGCAGCGTGTAGCCCAGACAAAGCACCGACCGATGGCATTCGGCTCTCTGAAGTCCTTGTGGCTGCGTGGCCGGGTCTGACCTTACCGAGAGGTCCTTCCATATAGAGTTGCCATAATATCAAGCAGTGGGTTTGGTACGGGAACCTCCGTAGAGTTCATGTGACGTAATGTGAGGGAGTCTGCTTAGAGATAAATTTTATGGGTGCTTTTATAGTCTTTCCCTGTATGCCAACCCAAAAAAAGGAGCCACCAAGTTCCTTTCCTTCCTCTCTCTTTCTCCATTTATTTTGTGTGAGCCAAAGAAAATGTTTGTCTGCCTTTTCTCTGCATGTATTTGGTACTGCGTATGGTGTCCGTGCGGGCGTACTTTTTGGCAGGGTAATGGATTAATCCTGGCTTGGCTTTGCCATCGGTGCAGTCACAAAGTTAGGGGATGGGGAATCCGCTAGGACCAAACCTGATGGGAAATCCGGGCGACCTCCTGGATCCTCGGAGGTGCCGTGGGGTCCCGGCAAGCTGGGGAGGGATGGGGAGCTGTACATACCCACAGTGACTGGGTGGGATAATTCCTGTCCGCTAAGGAAAATTGAGAGATGGTATAGGGCGAAGCACGCTGCTGGAAATAAAGGATATTCAGGTGTGGACTGGGGCTGTCTTTTTTTTTTTTTTAATTTTATTTGTTGCTGTTTTGCCTGGTTTACTTGGCTACAGGGCGGCTGTACAGAGGTCTCTGAAGAGGTTGAATTGAGATGGCTTTTGGAGTGTTGTTTATCTTCCCTCAGATAGGTTTACGGTGAATTATTTTACTTTGCAAATTCAAAGACCTCCTCCCCTCTCCCCCATCTGCATCCCCAAAAGTCACACTTTGTAAGGAAGCAAATGGCCAGATGGTTTTGTTTTATTTTTATTTTTTTTTTAATTACTGCTTTGTGGGCCTAATGCTAGGAGGAAGTTAGCCTTGTTTTTTTCTGGGGCTGAGGGTACTGCCCGCTTCTGTTTGCTTACTCCTTCCTTGTGGGCAGCGGCGTGAAAGTTGAGCCAACTTCTTTCTTCCCACTTTCCATTTTGCTTCCCAGATTTTTGCATGTGTCGCATTTGAAATCCTGGTGATTGTTTGTGGTCACTGGTGGGTGTTTGAAAGTGCGTGTGTACATCTTCCCCCCGGCGTTATGATGTGCAGAAATGTGCGTTCGGTTACCCTGCTGCCTGATTTAAGTGACTCCAGAGCCTTACGGAGACTTTACCACTGTCTCTCGCAACATTATGGCTAATATTTCATAGTGTTAACGTTGTCTTGAGGAAACCCAAAGTGTCCATAAAGTTCTTAGAAAAAGAGGTCATCTGTATTGGCCGAAGAGTTCCCTTTTGTACTTGGGCTCTTCAGTTATTTTAAAGCATTTATAAACACTTTTGAAAATAATAATAATAAAAAAAAACTCGGTGGGTTGTCTTTTGTCTGCAACCTGGAGATTGCTGCTTTTGGGGTGATGTCTGTTTAACAGTAATAAAAGTTGAGAGGTTTGATCCGAGCAGGAGCACGTAGGGGGAAAAAAATTGCCGCTTAAATATATGTATAAGTTGTCGGCGGCGTTCATTTGGTGTGTTTTCACTTGCTGTTGGTCGCTTTGTTGCGAGGGAAGGGGCAGGACTGCCTTCAAATGGCTGGCTGGCTTTTTGGAATAATAATTATGGAAATAGCAGGCATTGTTGTCCTAAATACAATTGATTCCTCTGTCAATAGGGATTGAAATCGGAAATTGCATTGCTGATTTATAAAAAGTTTGAAGGCAGGGGTAGGGGCTCTGTCTTTATGGCCTTTTTTTTCCCCTTTTTTTTTTTTCCCCTCTCTTGGTATTTATTTTTTTTTTTAAGCTGTTCTCTGCATGAGCAGAATAGCTAAGCAGAAGAATCAGGCAAGGCGTACGCAGACGTGGGGTCCTTGGATGGCAAACTGGAAAATATCTGCTGTCAAAATGCAGCAGCATCTATTTCAGCTGTGAACCTTTCCCAACTCCCATCTTGTTTGGCGGGGACTGGCGGGGAGAGGCTGAGCGCAGGATATATGACCATTTAATCTGATTCCTCCTCCTTAAGAGCTTTTCCCATCGTTTCACTTTCTCTGCTCTTTTGGGGGAGGTGAGGGCACAGGGCAAATTCTACTTCTTAAAAAGACCCTGACTTTGTATTTGAAATCCCCCGATTTTTATTTTCTTACCCTCCTTGCCCTTCTGTGTTGAAGGAATTCAGGGTTAAAAGAAAAATGTACGTACCACCGATGGGGGGAATTTACAAAGTGGAATATTTATAGACAGCACTGATTAGCTGTGCAATTGTTGTTGAATAATGGTGTTTTTTTTTAATTTTAGAACATAATAGCTATATAAGATGCCTCTTAGCTACCTTTCCCTGTGCATTATCTTCACAAAACTTAACTCAAATCAGATCTTTGGAGGAGGTAGGATTTTTTCCCCTTCTTTTCTTCCTTAACACCCCTTTGTTCTCTCCAGCTCTGTGTTCAATTAACACCCCCATCACAGAACTGTAGTCTTTTTTTTTTTAAATGTCTGTTACTGTATTTCACTTCTGACACCTCTCTTATTATTCTTGCCTGCTATTTCTCTTTAATATAGCAATTACGATATATTTCTTCCTCCCTCCCTTCTCTTCCCCCCCCCCCCCCCCCACAACTAAAAGCCCCACCAAGAGCGGCACGGAGAGAAGAGGTGCAGTGTAGTGTGTGCAGCACCAGTGTTTTTGGGGTGTGGGGCAGAGCTGTAAGCAGGGTATGCTGGCAAGCCCAAGGCCCCTCGGATGAAGTTTTTTGCAGGGCAGGATGGGGCAGCTTGCTTTCCTTCCTCCCTAGCCCTTCTCTAGGGTTTCAAACCCTGCCCTCCTTCTTATCCTGCATTTCCACCGAGAAACACCCCGATTTGAATTTCAATGCGACGCTTGCACCTAAGGCTTCATTCTGCCTCTGCAAAAGCTCATAATGAAAGTGCTCACGCTCCAGCCCTGGAGGATAGGGGTCCCTGCTCTGTTCTTGGCAGGTCCGGCCCTCGCCTGGCTGCTCTCCCTCCTGCCCTTCAAAGGGGAGGAAGCCTTTGCTTTGATATTTATTATTTTTTTTTTCCTCCAGCTGAAAGGCTTTGAAGGCAAAAGTGGTGCTTCTCTTTCCCAGCTGGGCAGGCTCCCTATAGGGGCAGGGTCTGCCAGGTCCCTGGTGTGACTGCCCTGGGGGCAAACGAAACATTTTGGGAGAGCAGGGCCTCCAGCCAGCCAGCACTGCCCAAGTAAGCCTCTTTGCAGCTCACAATTAAATTGCTTCCAGAAACCTGATGCCTTCAAGGGAAAGGAGGGAAGGGAATGTGCAGGGGGCTGGAAGGTAGGGGTGGTTTGGGAGGGAAGACAGCATCTGGGAGACCTTGGCTTGGTGGAGGGCTGTATTACTGCAAGAGGAGCGGCCACCTCTGGGGACTGGCTGGGAGGGGATGGAAATGAGTCACCCTGATGGAAAGGGGGACATGGCTCAGTAGGTCCTGCTGGCTGGAAGGAGCAGGGTCTTCAGGACTGGACCTGTGTCACTGCAGCAAGTCCTTTTTCTGGGCTTTCCTCTTCCAGTGTGGCGTTGTCCATCAGGGATCTGCCGGGGATGGATAGCTTTGGAGGAGCGTGCTTGCAGGGGGACTTTTTCCTTTTTAATTTTATATTTTCTTCTTCTCCCCTGGTAGCGTGTGGTTGGAG